CCGTCGACGTGTACTCACGCCGCCTGGTCGACGAGTCGCTGCCGGTCGACGTGTACTCGCGCCGCCTGGCCGACTCCCCCGAGGCGATGGCTAGCGCTCCCCGCGCATCGACGGGGGCTTTGCCTTCGTCGGCACGGCACTCCGCCCCCTCCGGCGCGACCGACAAGCAGGCGCTCGCGTTCGCCCAGGCGGCCAAGAGTCCGTTCACCGAGGACGTCGCGTACGGCTCCCTGTGCGCTTTCATCGCCGGGCGCGCGGGCGAGGTGGACGAGTGGGCCGTGACGGTGTCGAGCATCCAGAAGTTCGCCCCTGGCATGAGGGTTGCCGTGGCGGCGGAAGAAGACGCGGTGCATCTGTACGAATGGTGAGAAAGTACGCGTCGGCCGTGAACGTGGTGAATGGTACGTGTTGTGCCTTGCCATGAGCTATGTGTATCTCTCCAGACGCACCTTTCTTGCCGTCTCCTCATGGTCGTGGTTTTCTCTCTTGTCGTCGTTCGTTTGTGTCTACTTGGTGTTGTTGTGCGCATCCCGATATTGTTGTTGGGGTTCACGCTGTGCTACGGTTAGCATTCTTGTTTCCTACCTCATCCTCGCTCTCACCTCTGCAAAAATTTATCTCTCTCTCTCTCTCCCTCTCTCTCTCTCTCTCTCGCTCTCTCTCCCTCCCTCCCTCCCTCCTTCCCTCTCTCCCTCTCCCTCTGCCCCTCCCCCTCGCCTCGCCCACCTCTCCATCGCGGCAGGGCGGTCGGCTCTCTTCCGGGCGTCACAGTGGCCAGCACCCCCAGCGCCCTGACGGCGAGTCTCTACGCCGACAGGTACTGCGGCGGCACCAAGGCCACTAGCCTCATCATGTACGTCACCCGAGGCTCCACCTTCTCGCGCCCCTTAACCTCGAAAGACACCCACTCCCCGAGGGGGGACCTCCTGGTCGCGCACAGCAGCAGCGCGAGGGCGAGCCACCACGTCGCGCAGCTGGCGAAGCAGACGGCCTCCGTGCTGGCGTTGTCCGAGGGCAGCGCGGCGCCACCGACCGTGCCGCTTCCGCCGTCGTTCACGTTCGGCACGGACCTGATGCTGCCGGTTGGTGCCAACGCGGACCTGCGGGACCTGTTCGCGTCTAAGGGCGACAAGGCGGCCTTCCAGCAGGCCGTGCAAACCCTGGCGGGCCTCGACGATCTCGCTGCGGTTCCTCAGGTGCGGCGAGCGTTTGTTTCCGCGTCGTCTCGCCCATGCGATGATGGGTGGGCGTGTGTTAGGTTAGGCAGGCACCGCGAAAGGAATTTTCCAAGTGTCCAACCCGCTAGGAGCACTTCGTCCGGAAAATAGGGCGAAGGCCAAGACTGAGCGGTACATCGTCAGAACTTCAAGACAATTCTAAGCTGCTTGCTGTACGACACATAAAAGGAGGCCGTTGTATCCCACCATTGGTTGTGCCCCCTCTTCATCGGAATGATAATTCTCATACAACATCCCAAACCGGTTGACGATAGCCTTCAGAAAACTGCCCAGCACTCCGTTTTCCAAATGATAGACCTCTGGTGCTCCTCCACGATATTTCGTGACGCAAGCTCTACCATGTCTGCGTCAAGCCTGTCTTGGAGACAAATCTCACCAGTACGTTTTCCCCTGCCTCTCTTTCTGCGTATCCTCTTTTTCCCCAGGCCCTTGCAGCCCTCCAATACTCCCGACAGCCGGAAGGGGTGTGGTTCCTCGATCCACAGGCATGGATTTCCGAGTATCTCTTCAAGGAAGTGTCGATATGGGACATCCCTCTGGTCAAGCCACGGTTTACATGCGCCGTGGACCCGGCGCTACTGCGCAACCACGACTCCGCTGGACCCACACGGGGCGGAAGAAGCAGTTTCGAAGTGGCGCAGGTTTTGCAGGATGGCCTTGACTTTTTCTCGAAGGGAGGGACGTGCTCGAACGGGCAAATCGACTTTAGACCTGAAGACGCATGACTGCTGGTTTAGTTGGGTGTGACGGGGGAGGAGGTGGATGTTGGCTGATTCTGGCCATTAGCGTGTACAGCAGTTGTTATCAATAGTCTGCTCGTCCTGTCGTGTTGTTATCTTTCGTTGTTCCGATGTACAGCAGGTCATTGGTGTATGTTAGGCATAGACCACGCCCTTGCCCCCTACAGGCTTGTTCTATTCATTTTTTTGTTGCATGTGTTGGCGCTTGTGGAGTGCCCGGGACGATTCCGTCTCACTATGTCTTCTTGTTTGCATCCAGTTCTTTCTATTCCATGTCCTCCACAAAACATGCACAGAGGACAAGTAGCTTTGAGCTGCAGTTTGTGGCAGTGCGAGGAATCTGTTTCCTTTCTGCCCCTCACGGAGGTTTCCAAACGTTTCAACCCGTCGCAGCGGTTGTCACTGCCTTGTTCAACGCCGACTGATTCCCACCAGAGTACAGTAACATTTTTGCAAGATGGGACAAGTTACCCAAGCAATGCTTGTTGTCAGTATTTGTATCCACTGTTCCCTACCCCAGTATTGTCTCGGCCACTCCATCCAGTAGAGAAGACTGAGAGGCAACAATAACGACTCAGCATCTATCTGGTGGAGCCCCCCCGCCACTTTTCCAGTCTCAAGCACCTGGGACTGTAGGCCAGCGACAGACCAGTCTTGTACGACATTCGGTCTCACGCCAGAGAAGGAGACGTGCGTGTGCATGGTCGAAAGTGCTTTCTTCAGGTGTTGGGAGACACACCCTGCCGATCGATCTACCGGCGTTTGTGCGCCCAAGTTGGCCAATGTCCACAATATTTGTGTCAGCCTTTGTGTCTGGGGTGGTGCTCGCTTTTGGGAGGGCCCACAGGGAGGCATGTTGAGCAAGTAACTTGACTGAGCAAGATCTCTCTCGACAGTTACTGATGACAGAAAGCCGCCATCAACGGGGAAGGAAGAAAAATAACCATTTCACGATGATGGTAACGTCCACAGTCCTGGCGCGGCGTTCAACTCTGGGAGGAGGGATGCATACTTTACCGGTTCGACCGCAGCCCCGCAGTTAAAGAGTACCCGTCGGTAGGTCTGCTGCTCTACGCTTTTCCTTGGCAAATGGGCAGTTTCCTACGTTGGCAGCAGGTAAGCCGACTCTACAACCGAACCCACCCTGTTTGTGGTGTGTCGCGTGAAAGAATGTTCACGCAAAACAACAGCATGTAGTAGTGGAACTGGATGTCTTTGATCCCATCTCGCATGATACCTTTACATATACGCGATTTCCGGTTGTGCATTTACACACCAGAGAAATAGTACATGGTACTTCATGATGGCTTCCACAGTCGTACGGTTCTTCCGCGGAAACAATCTAAAACCACAAAAGAACTCGTATAAAACCGAACAGAAAGCGATCATGAAGCAGCGACGCCAAGAAATAACACAAAAAAAAAGCTATTGAAACAGAGCCGGGATCAGGCGAGCATCATCACCTCTACGCGTTGAAAGAAGGGCATTGCTGTGGCAAGGTACACGCAAAGGTCCACAAGGAAAAAGCATACCCCTTCGGGATGGAAAGCATCACGACGAAGTGCCTACAGTACTGCTGTAAAGCGTTCATGGGAACTGAATATATCTGGGTAAGAAGAAACACTCACCACGTTGTTCTCTTCGGCTGGATGGAAGTCTCAAGATCGCAGCGCAGGAGGTAGGTCAGGTGTGGTAGGGTGGGGACAGGCGATGTTGTGATTCAGGGCGGGAGAGACAATGTCGACAGAGCCGACCACATGACACACAGGGAAGAGGTGTAGGATTTCACATTCGACCACGTCTAGCTTGACGGGTAACCTCTTGGTGCTCCCGGACGTTACAGGTTTGGATCTTGCAGTGATGTGGTTGGTCTCCCGATCGATTGCTGCTGCGGACTCGCAAAAAATATGTAAAAACCGACCACAGGAAGACATTTTGTCCGACATTTTTCTCACGAGTTGTTGCTCTCACAGACAGACAGACGCTGAATGCCACAGCTTTCGGCCACAGCTTTCGGTCGCGAGTGTGTGTAGTAGTGTGTGCCTCGCTTCCCTTCTTTCTCAATGCGCACCCTCCATGCAAAATAACAAATATACAGGGGGTCACGACTACTTTATTTCAGTGATCAGTTGACTTTATTTGTTGCGCAACCTGCGGAGTACCGTAAATGACACAAGATGACACACACCCCGGACCGATTTTCAAATCTCGATTTCTCAACACCAGAAAGAGTCACAGCGCCGAAAACGGTGGCGTTGAAGCTGTCTCGATTGTTTCATTTACACATCCACTTCGTCGTGGCGTAATTGAGCTTTGAAAATTGGTCCAGGGGGTGTGTTCTTTTGTGTCATATACGGTAGTCACCCGTCAACGGATTGGATGCGGGAAAATTTTGTGTCCCACAGGTTAAAACCACAGGATCCCTTTAGTCTCTTGCTGATTGAAAACAAAGCCGCCTGCCGGAATGAAACACCCCGTTCCCCTGTTCTGCTGTCCCTTCTACAAAATATGCGCGGCATTGCGTATGCATATGCACATACCGATTGTTTTTCTTCGCGAGAGCGGCATCAATCGCCGCAGTACTGACTATACTGCTGTACTGTATGTACCCTATGTACGTCGTGCACAACAACTGGTCAGCGTTTTACTGCCGTGTGCTACAGGTATATACTTACACTACAAATGCTTTTCTATATCGAAATATCGCATGGTAGCACCTGCCGGTCGATGCGATGGTTAGCGATTGAGAGGCACGCACCGATTGGTCCTTCATACCCCCCGGAGACAGGCGCCGGCTGTTGCCGGCTGCTTTGCCAAGAAAGAAACATGAGCAGCAACCCCTCGATAAAACGGCATGAAAATTCTTGTCGAACTCCCCCATGCGCCCTACAGCACCTACATCCACAACGTCTGCCGAGTGAAGTGAAGTCGGGGGCGCGGACGCGGAGCACCAACTCTGACGAGAGCGTCAACAGGGAGCGGCACGACGAGTTTCCTGTTGTCGGTTCGGTGTTAGGATCGGATGGACGTGGACGGGGAGGACGAGGAGGACTTGTTCGATGCTATCCTTCAACCCCCCGACCAGGTTTGTTTGGTTTGTCGTTGCCTTCGATGTATGTACACAGCACCAGCACCAGCACCAGCCGCCGCCGCCTTTGCAGAAAAAGATGTCTCTCGATTGACAATAGGTTGGGGTTCCACTGCTGCGTGGCTGTCCAGTCGGGCTGCGACGCGGCCGGCTTGCATCTAGGGCTGGGTGGCGTGTATGTCTTGTGCTTCCCGGCCATATGCACCGATCTTCAACACGCGTTGGTTGCCCCCTCCCTGGTTACACCTACATTTGTACTGATGCAAAATACATGTACACTCGGAACACACAGGAGCAGGTGGGTGGTGTTGCCCCACACATGACCCCTTGTACACGATGGGTGTAGCGGTGTATGTAACGTGGAGTCGACACAGCCAAAAGCTTGCACTGCAGCTGGACCTGCAATCCAAGGCTGCCGGCCGCAATAATCGTGATGTAGAGCCGCCGTTGCCGTTGCCGGTACCTGCCGTATCAGGACTGTTGCGGCGTTTATTTCAAGTGCCGTCGTGCTTTGTTGTCATTGTTGCTTACACTCTCGCGTGTGGGCACCGGCGTTGCTGCGACAACGGCAAACACACAGAGGCAGTGGGGTAGTAGTGGATCGAGCCCCGCCAGAGCCAACTGGCTGCTGGGGGTTCATGCTGATGTTGGTGCGACGGGAAAGGGTAGGAGGTAGGAGAATACGCCGAAGTGGTTTTGAAGAGGGGGTACAGCAGTATGATGGAGGAGTACACGGAAAGGAGGGCGGAGCGCTGGTGAAAAAAGGAGCATGATGGTGTGGCACGGAGGAAACCAATGATTTGACGAAAGAGAAGAGGAGAGAGTGGTGGAGCAGTAACGAAGGTGGAGGAGGGGGTGCGGCAGAGAGCAAGAGGTGCAGAGTTTCAACCCTGCTCATCTCTCCACGCGTTCCATTACCAGCCCATTCCTTCCACCCATGGAAACACCGGAAGGACAGAACACGCCAAGATTTTACCCAAGACTTCACCGCTCTCAAGAACCTGAGGGACCTTAAGAAAACTTAAGACCTTGAACGTAAGAACATGTGCTCAGTGTCGAGTACCATACTGAAACCTATTTGTCGCTTTTGGGGTTACCATATACGAGTAGAAGAAATACATGTCTTGTAGACGCTTTTTGCATAATACAAACGAGGATGATAACACGGAAACCAAGGAGGATGATAGCGCCCGCAACAAGACAACGAGGGAGCCAACAGAACACGAGTAAACCTCGGTAGACAACCTGCGTTGATTTGCCTCCATCTGTTGCCGTCTTTTTGCTCCCCCATGGCCTGTGGAATGCAAACACACGTTGACGGGGCAATGTGTGTGGTCTGTCTTCGATTTATGCTTGTGCTGTGTGTCTCTTTCGTGCTCATGCCCTGCTGAAACCAAACGCTGCTGCAAGCAGCGCTGACAACAATACCGCAGTCGTTAGGCTAAAAACACACACACAAACACATGTCATTTTATCGCCTAGCCTGTCCAATGACGACGCACTCACACGGGGCCCCAGATCATGGCCTTTTCGAAGTGCTTTCATTGTTCAGCGGCGCTTTTAATTTTTTTCATTGGTCAGCCGGTTGGCGTGGTCGATGGTAATAACAAACACACACACACACACACACACACACACACGTCAGGACGATCAAGACCTGCTGAGCTTCTTCCTTTCGCCGGATGGACTCGAGACTACCACGACAACGGCATCGGACACCACCAACGACATCATCTGCTCGCCTCCCCCTGCCGATGGCGGTGGTGGTGGTGGTGGCATGACCACCCGGTCGCGCAACAGCAGCGGCGGCGGCGGCGTTGGCGGCGGCGGAGTCAGGTATGTATGTATGATCCCGACGATTGTGGACTTAATGAACGAAGTTTATCGCGCGCACGCACACACACATGCTTTTGAAAGCAGCCAGTTTCGTGTGCAGTAGCGCGTCACTTGGACTGTGCCCGTTCCTGGTTCACTCAACACGATATCACGATACAGAAGTGAGCGGTATTACAATAGTCTCAGCCGTGTTGCTTCTGTCGACACGCGGAAACTGGTCAATGTCAGCTGTCGTGCGAAAAGACTCGATTCGGGACCGTTCAAGAAACCCCTCTTCTTCAGATGATTTTTTCGCCGAGTACCTGCCTGGTGACCCTGACGTACTGGTGCTCTGCCTCTTCCTGTGTCCTGTGCCACGCCCTCGTCCGATTTGCTGTTGCCGCGTGCTTGTCGTCGTCAGCGACTCTCGTCGCTCGTCGTCCCCCCCCGACCTACCGTCTGCGGTGACGGCAACTCAACGGCGTGGAGGGCTGCAGCAACAGCAGCAGCAGCAACAGCAACAGTACCGCTCGTCGTACAACCCGGCCCTGGAAACGATAACACAACAAGCAGCAGCAGCAGCGCCAGCGTCACCGCTGCCATCGATGGCGGGACTGCTACCGGGCGCGGCTGCTGCTGCTGCTTTTTCGGGGGAAATTCCCGCACGGCTTTCTTCCAGAAACACGAGTAACAGCGGCAGCATACCGAGCCTGTCGGAGAACTTCGGGAATGCTGCTGCTGCTGCGGCTGCGGCTGCTGCGGTTGCTGTGGAGAGAGGGGGAGGAGGAGCTCATGCCGGCATGCCCAAGAAGTTGCTAGGCCCGCGGCCCCGCGGCATAGGAAACGCATCCGGGGTTGAAGCAATGGAAGGGGTTGAAGGTGAGCACCACTGTGTAGGGCGTGCTGGTGCCGCTGCTGCTTGTGCGCTCGTTGTCCATGCTTACACCCGCTCCTGCTGCTCGCGTCGGCATTTTTTGGTCCGTCGTTGGCAGAGAAGCGGGGGTTCCTTTAGTTTGGACGGGCTTCGCATACCGGCAACCTTCAGACAACATTCTCCACGGAAACACACACACAGACGGGCGAATTAATTAATTCCCATTTTTCGGGGACCGGTTTCAATGATCCCCCCCCCCCATTTTTTTTTTGCCTCTGTTTGTTATTTTTTGCGGTAACCATAATGGTGGTCGAGTAGATCATGTTGTGCGGGGTCGAGAACCCTCACTCCGCGCAAGGGGGATGATCGCACCACGTTGTGTTAAAATGGTCAAGCATCCTCGAGGCAGTTACACAGTGCTTACAACTGTCTCTGGAAATGAAAGCACCAGAAAATAAATTAAGTTATACGCAGCTGTCATCCGTACGCAAGGAAGTAAGCACAAGATGCCGAACACCCTTCGTAGGATGCAGCGCACCCTTCATGCGACTCGTCGAATACCTCACGGCGCCTCGCGCTTGGTGATGAGAGAGCCTGGTCCGGTGAGAGCCCGGCGTGCTCCGTCCCGGCTTTGTCGGGATGCGAGGCCTATGGTCTAACAACTACGGCATGCAAAACATGAGTACCCCCCCCTCCCCCCCCCCGCCCGCTCGCCTCAGACAAGCCTAGTAGGTTCGAATCCACCATCGGGGGGGGCGCGGCCAGCGGCGGGGACGGCGGGGGGGGTTGGATCGGCGGGGTCATGCCGCGCCACGGAAGGGCATCAAGCCTGTCAGGCGTGCCTGGGGGTGGGGTAGAGGGGCTACCGCGGAGCCCCGGCGCTGCCGGTCTTGCTGCTAGCGGTGCTGCTGCGGGCTTTTCTGCTACCCATCCCCCCGCTGGCGTTACGCCGATGGGGCGTCGGTTGTCGCCCCCCCACGGGGGTACAACGTTGGGGGTGAGCACCGTGTGCGTCCGCCGTTCCAAGCGCGCTGCTGTGTCGTGCCCTTGCTGGTGTGCTGCTGCTGCTGCTGCTGCTGCTGCTGCTGCTGCTGCTGCTGTTCATGATACACCGAAGTCCTACACACGACCCCAAGTTTCTGCATGCGTGCACTGGTTACTTCGGTTTTGTGAGATTTATTGCTCGTTTTGGTAGGCAGCATCCCGCACGCTAGCGAACAGGTCGTCGAGAGCACCCGGATGCTCACGCTATCTCTGTGTGGGAATCGCTTCCCCTCCCTCTCTCTCGAGAAAGAGGGGACGTGTTGACCAATGGCCGAGTGACAAGAAAAGCAATGAGCGGAGAAGCGCGCCGTTAAGACCCGACACTTGCCTGTACACAATCGAATTTTGTTTTTTTAATCTTGATGGTGAATCTAAACGAAAGACGGGGCGCTTTTTGTGTCTTCTTTGTCCGTCGGGTGTGTTTTTGCTGGCACTGCTTTCGTGGTCACTAGCAGCAGCAGCAGCAGCAGCAGCAGCAGCAGCAGCAGCAGCAGCTGCAGCAACAACAACAGCGAAACGCGGTTGAGTCTTCGGGGCTAGGGGGCGGCACTCAGGTGGGGGCCCACAGAGTGTGTTTGCTGTTGCTCCCAAGTTGTTGTTGACGATGCTTTTTTTCTTGTAGTTGTTTTTGTTGATGCCATCGTTGTTGCTGTAGTTGCTGTTGTTATCACGCTACGTCATGCAGAGGTCCTCCAGCACCTCCTTGTACGATTACTACCGTTCTCTAAGGCGAAGCAACGAAATCCCATGAGTCAAGGGCGGTTACCCAACAAAAAGGACAGTATCACAGCTCATGATACAGCACATCCTGAGTTGTGTTTGCCAGAATTTGCGGTGCAGCTTGTTCGCAAGAAAAATCCTGACATTTCCTTCGAGATGCCGAAGCCACGAGGATTGTATCGATTGTAAAGCCCCAAGTAGCTTTCGCAAGCACAAGCTGCGGCGACCGTAGGCGTCAGTGCAAGTACCATCCCTCTCCCTCTCAAAGCCTGCTGAATGGGTCTTGGTGTAGATGTCGCATTTTGTTCGCTGCAACAATAATCCGGGGCAAGCTCTGTTTTGGGAGCGTTGGTCGATTTTCTAGTAACGAACATAGTTTTGAATCGACGACGAGCACCCAGCATGTTCTCACGCGTTGCTGAATCCATCATCTCTCCCGTTATGCTTGTCCCGTCTCAAGCGAGAATGGTCTTGTGCCGTGTAGAAATGGTGATGGCCATGAGCATACATGGCAACGGATTCTCTCGATGTTGGTATCTCGCTTATTTCGCGTACCTGTAGGTCTACGCAGTTTTGCTGTTCGTGGTGTTTTACATGGGTTGTTCAGCAGCAGCAGTGTCTCAGAAGGCAAAACTACACGCGTGCCTGATGTCATTCTCCTGCCTTCTTCCTCGTGCGCACGCAGGTCTAGCTTTGTACACCAAACGCCGTGTGTGTCTTGTGTAGCTTTTTTTTCGTTCCGACATTTTTTGGTTGCGATAGGACTTGTACACACATTCCATTCTAAACGCCTTATTTATGTGCCTTTTTGTGCTTTTTTTGCGTTGCGACAGGACTTGTACACACATTCCACTCTAAACGCCTTATGTATGTGTCTTTTTTGTGTCTTCTGTTTTTCGTGGCGACAGGACTTGTACACACATTCCATTCTAAACGCCTTGTGTATTTGTATGTTTCTTTTTTTGTTTTGTTTTTTTTCGTTGCGACAGGACGAGAGGCGGCAGAAGCGGCTGGCAAGGAACCGTGAGAGCGCGAGGCAGTCACGACGCCGCAAGAAGGAGCACCTCGAGCTGCTGGAGGAGAAGGTGGGGGTGGATACCTTGATACGCTCGTTTGTGTTGTGTGTGCGCGTGTAAGAGAAGGTGGGATGGTTGCCTTCCGAATTTCTTCTATATGTTGTGTGCGTGTAGGGTAGAGGCTGCGAAATATGCCACACCTTTTCCTTTTTTTTAATTGTCTTGATTTCAAATTTGCGCTCACAGCATTTGCGCAGTGTATACTCCAACCCGCGGTCACACAGAAGGGTTCCTCTACCTGAGGTCCCCTACCCACCCCCTCCTGAGGTGCTTTGCCTTCCATTTTTTATGCGAGAAGAGTTGTCTTCCAAAATTATACCATTATGAACTAGTTTTCCATGTTGGGCGAAGTACCGCACCCCCGTGCCTAAGAAATGAACAATTGTTTGTTGTTTGTTGTGTGGGTGTGTAGTGTGCGCTTGCGTTTATGGTTCCACACCTGGTGCCTCAACAAGGAACAACTAATTTTCTTCTCTGTTGTGCGTGTGAACGTGGGTTGACCGTGGACCAGTTTTCAAAGCTCGGTTTCGCTGGAAAGGAGAAATGTAGTGACGGTGCCGATCATGGCGGCGTTGGAACCGTCCCGTTGATGCCCTTTCCCGAGAATGCTTGCCATGCCGACCTATTGAAGCGGGGCTGAGAGCGGCGCCCCGTCTTGACCGATTTGCGTGTTGAGGTCAAACTCCCGGGGGCCGAGGCCTACGCAGTCAACGAAGCGGCACTTTTTTCACCGCATGTGTACGTGGTGTTTGCATTCACGACCCCCCCCCCCCCCCCCCCCCCCCCC